ATATATATATATATATATATATATATATATATATTAATATGTACTATGAACAGTGGCGTAGATACAATTTTTTTCTGGGTGAGGGGTGTTTAAGAATAAGTTTTTAAGTGTTAGTATGTCGTAAAACGGGGTCATATGTAATAAATTATTACTATATTATTAATATATACCTAATCACAGTAAAATCAAAATATTATACTATAATATGTAAATATTAATAAATAATAATCAAATACCAAAAAAAAATATGCGGAGGGGAGTGGAAACCCCTTACACCCTCCCCGTAACTACGCCACTGACTATGGACCATAGTATATCCTCATGTAGTTAACTACTTACTTCTATAGTACCACTGTACTCAGACAAGGTATCAAATATTTTTAATTTATAAAATGCAAACATTAAATCAAATTATATAATTTTATATCATTATATATAATGTATTTAAACTATAATTGATATAGGCCAAAATATGTTAGATAACATGTTACAATATTATAATTTTTTTAATTCATTTGATATTATATTTTTATTTTATAATCTAAATATTGTGTTTGTAATTTTACACAGTGGTATATTAGACAATCAACAATATTATAAGCTGTTGTTGTGTGTAAATGAATAGACTACTAACTATACTCCAACTGCAGTTATCAATGTTCATTAAATATAATATAAGTAAAGGACCACATAATATCTAAGTATATGTACATAAAATGTTTCTATTACAAATCGTAAAACTTAGTTTATATTATATTAAATAAATTATTCTAATTTTATAAATAATTAATAATTATTTAACTTAAATTAAGTACGTACGTTTATTTATTTCATAAATTTTCATGAAAATCTTTGCAATGAAGTGTGTCCGTGTGCGTAAGCAGAGATGGCCACCGTCACAGTTATCGACTCCGTCACCGCTACCGCTGCTGTGTGCGCGGGCTAGCGATATCTGGCTCCACCGCCACGCCAACGCTACCGCTACCGCCACTGCGGCAGTGTGCGCGAACTTAAAATGTGCGGTTTTGATGACCGCCGCACGGCGCGAACAAATGTGATTTCGGTAAACGTTAATGCACGCGGGTCTAATTGAATATTTTTTCACCGTCGTAGTTATAACTTTTGTTGATGATGACCCGAAGAAGTGTGGAGGAACCCTATTGAGTACCTGCACACGTTGTCCACGAATTACTGAAAAGCAATACCAGCTCACCCGTTTTTGTTATATTTCGCTCAAATCGATTGGTGGTCAACGTAGGTAGTTATATATAAAGGGTATGAAGCTAATGCGACTATCACCGTGAGAACCCGAGCTCATGCGTGTGCTCATAGTCATCGAAAACCTTAATGGTCGAATTAATCGGACGATTAAAGTTCGATTAAGATTCAATTGGTTTTTAGTCTACCGCGTCAAGATGGTATTCTAAAATATTAATTAAAATAACGAATACAATTAATATTAAATTAATTCAAATAAATAAATAATAGTTTAAAAATAAAAAATAAATAAATAAATAAAAAAAAGAAGAAATAAACATATAAATATATATATATATATATACACACCCTTCGTGGTTTGGTTTTATCATTTAAAAGAATAAAAGATAACAATAATGATTGAAACAGTACAATCAATAAAGTAAAACGACTAACGTAGGATGCAAAACGATTCGTTCACCATGCATCAAAGATTGCTATAAAGAAATGATGGTATCATAATATTTTTGTGTAAAAAATTATCTATTCAAACCTCCAGTCACGTATGCTAAGCGAATAATGCATGAGAATGAATACGATTATGTTATAATATATAATTAAAGAAAATGTTTATTTTTTCTCGATAAGTAAAAACACTTAAAGCTAATAGTCATAATTTATAAATCATATCCTAATGGACGTACATAATGAATAAAATATGTATGATTTTATTTTCAAAAATCTAAATGCAAATAATTTTTTTTTTTTTTATTAGGATTCGATGTAATGATCGGAGCTCCTACTATTTCTTTTTGTCACATAATGCTCAAGAGTGACGAACGTTTCACCCGGCTCTTGCGAACAATTCACCCTCACATACCTATCATTACAGTAAACTAACCATACACATTATCGATCAAGAAAGTAAGATCATTAAGCGGATCATATATGGATTAAACGGATAAAAAAAAATTGAAATGAACAAAATCAATTTTTTTTTTTCGTCCGATTCGTGCTTTCAATTATACACGAACTAATAACGAAATTGATAGTGTATGCATATACGCAAACACGTACGAGTCATAATCAATGTTTTAAGAATGACAATGTACGGGTATCGTCTTGGGGCCTGTTCCACCAACACAATTTGCAATTTTTCACTTTGCATTTTGCACTTTTCGTTTGTATTTTTGTTCCACCAAAAAGTAAAAATGAAAAATGCACACTGAAAAGTGAAAAGTTTGCCACTTCGATGATAATATTTCTGGTAAAACACGTACGGTTAAAATTGTCAGTAAAATCGATAGGTAGTGTATGGCCCCCGCTTAAGGGTTTGGGATCGGCAGGGTGGTTGGGAAGTCGACGTTTTATTTTAACCATCACTGTTGTCATGGAACCGGCCGTTTGATTCGTCGCATTACGAAGCGCGTCGTATTGATTTTCATCTCCGTTCTAGTCATCACCTCGGTGATCAGTTTGGCAACGTTGCAGCTGCAACAGCCAGGTAGCGCGCACACTCTCTTTTCCGAAATCCACTTATTTCGACGCGATGAGTCATGCACCATTTATCGCAAATGTAATATTATTAATTGGAAACGTTAAGGCGGCTTACACTATGCCGAATGGTGTCGATCGACACGGTCGATTTTCAGTTTGGCCACCATTGGACTAACCAAACGGCACAACTGTACCAACACGTATATTGAGTGTGTTTTGTGTGTATTATTAATATTAATATATTCAATATTATTAGATATATATAATAGATATATATTGATTATAAAAATGTTTTATCAGTTTTTGTTAACATATTAATTATAATAACACATAATAAATAACATAATAATAATAGTAATAATAATAATAATAACATAATTATAATAACATCAGCTTTTGCTTAAAAGTCGAGCAACATACTTCGACACGTTTACACTACTGTTGTCGATTCGATTCTTTTTGATCCTTACCGACTTGATTCGGGTTGCGTTCGATTCGACTCGACATGTTTTGACAATGCCGAGCGACACGTACACATTTGTTAGATCGTGTCGGTATATGATCATTCGGCATAGTGTGGACGCAGATTTAAATTAACAAATAAATATAGATGTATTCAGGGGCGGATTGGCCTATCGGGAAATCGGGAATCTTCCTTCTTGTTTGGGCCGCTCTATATTATTATATGATTACCAAAAAAAAGTTTTATTTTGTAAAATAAATAAAAATCATTAAACAAATAAATATATATTTAAAGATGCATTAAGATCAAACTTCAAGTTCAAGTTGTAACTGATTAATCATGTGACTTACCCAAAACTATTATAGCTATAATTATAGTAAAGTTATTGTAGATTTTACTAATTTAGGGGTGAAACTAAACAAATTTTGAAATTAATGCAAAATAAAGTGTTTTTTTGTTGGGAGGGAGAGGGGCAAAATAGTTAAATTTGCGGTTCATGGACCGGTTTGTTTCATATTTCCTGGGCCGAAAATAATTGCCAATCCGCCCCTGGATATATTAATAAGTATAGCTGACTCCGACAAAGCGAAGTAGTATAACGTCGCATATATATACATATGTATACATATATATATACACACAATACAAGCAGTGATGGTTTAACGGGGATGAGTCCAGGGGGTTTGGACCCCTACCATATCCCGAGTTTAAACTTCGATTTATTATTCGCTCGGAATGATCGTGTTTAATGCGTTATGTTATGTTTTTTTTCGTTTATAAAAGAATGAAATTTTAACTAATATACTATTAATAAGTTTAATAACGTTTTTGTGTCTTCATATACAGTAAGGTACGTTTTCCAAGGCACGACATGTTGTCAATATCTGTTTACACGAAAATAGTATCAACTGTTTTGCAAGACGCGACAGGTCGCGGCGACTGAACTTTGGGTCGCCGCGACCGACGATACTACTGCTCCGGGAGCAGTGTTGCGCGACAAGTCGCCGCGACACATCACAACGACTATTGCAACGTTTATAGATACAATGGCATCAATATTAATTTTCTCGGCGTCGGAAGACGACATTTTAATTCGTGAAGTCTAAAATACACTTTTTTACAATATTGGAGATCCAAATTATAAAAATATTATTCAAAAAGATGACATTTGGTCATCATCAATCATTCTCTGTCCTGATGTATAAATAATTCATTTATAGGTTTTCTAATGTTTAACGATGAGGTAACTAAAATTGATTGTTTTTCTTGTTTTTCTTCTTCTAATAATAATAGTGTAAGAAAAATATTATTATTATTTAAAATATATCTATTCGTTGTGATATGATATAATATTATATGAAAAATACGTGCGCACTTGAACAAGTTTAAAAACGTATATTAACCACGGACGCTGACCGAATATTAGCTGTGTCGCTGCGACTTGTCGCGTTTGGGAAACCATTCTATCCAAAAATCGTCGTGACGACTGGTCGTGGCCGTCAGGCGCAACAACTTATAGCCGCGACATGTCGCCGAGGCCGACGACCGCGACTTATCGTCGCGACGCATTTTTTCATGATGACATGACGCGGCCACTTTGGTAGCTACATAATATATAAAGAAGGAAAATATACCTATCTTAAACCAAAACAAAAGGCAAACAGATGATATGTTCAAGTATCTTGATACAGAAGGTTTTTATGAAATATTAGATTATCCATAGGCATTTAAAAAAATAATATCATAAAATTTCTTGAATTTTTTCGTGTCAATATTCAACAGTTTGATTTTTTACTTTCTTTGGTTGAAAACAAAATAATTTTACCTCCAAGTAATAGAAATAAAAAAACAATTTCACCAGCAGAAAAGTTAGCGATCACTCTATGGTAAATTTAAAATTTGTATAAATTACACGTACATTTATTTAAATGATTCTGTTTACATTTTAATTTTAATAGATATCCAGCAACTGGAGAATCAATGAGTTCACTATTGTTTGGATTTCGCATCAATTATAGTTACATAAGTGTGATAACAGTGGCGGTTTATCCCAAAGATGGGCCTGTGTGCAAAACTAAAAAAAGACCCCCTTTTCATTTTTTTATTCTAAATAATATAGGTATAGATATAAATTCAAATTTAAAGTAAAAATTTTTATTCTTGAGTTATAAAATCTTATGCAAATCCACTTTCCATTTTTATAAAATTTTCATTTATGTAAAAAATAAGATGAAATTACGTTATACAAATAAAATATCTATTAATAATTTCTACAAAGCCAATAAATGATTAATTTATTTGTAATGTCTTAGAATTACCATTAGAGTCTAAAATAATCGAAACGTATCGAATAACTTGACTTAGTTGATCAATCTTACTAATATCTTGAGTAGTATCCATTATCACAGAAAAAAAATAAAAAAATAGTGATTGGTTAATACTTAAAATAATTTGTTCTAATATCGTATTTGCAAATAAAGTAATTATCTCATTTTGAGTAGTATTACTTAAATAATTTGCTGTGCCCTTACTACCTGGCATACTCAATAGTTTTTCTAATATGGGATCATATATTGAAATAAGAGTAATTATTGATAAAAAATTGCTTTTATTTTTATTAAATTCTGTTTCTTGGTGACCTCTTAAAGACAAGTTGGATGTAGCTAATGTTAATGTGACGTTGATAACCCGATCTAATACTTTTCTCCAAAGGTTACATTCATTTTGAATAGATATTTTCATTTCTTCGGAAATTGTTTTATTTAGGCACCATTGATCAAATATAATACAACATTGAATATAACCATTTGATTTATCGTGTAGTTTAATATTTTGAGTAAGATGACTCCAATTATTATTTCCCGTTACTCAAGATGAACTAATTCTATCTTAAGTAGAAAACAACCAACAGCATTGACAATATATTTTATTTAAAGTTAATGAGTAACATAGCCATGTACGTTTTTTTTTGTGAAACGTTGAGTAATAATGCCCCGCCCCCCCAAGCCGAGGGTCCGTGGCATTTGCATACATCACACACATGTATGACACGCCACTGTGTGATAATCATAATAACATTGCTGCTTTAAAAACGAAATTCATTCCAATTTTTACACCCGATACAAAAACTATTAACTTCATGTCAAAATCAGTTGAATTTTCCTACAAATGGAATTTTCCAAATTGTGTAAAATACGATTGACCTACACTTCTCGTAAAAAAATTTCGTCATCCGATGGTAAAAATACTAATTCTAACTCCATAGCCATAATAATAAATTGGTATGGTCATCGCGACGTGTAGCGCGGTATTGCTCTATGATGATAACAATGTACTCCCTCCCCCCACCAAAATAATTATAAAAACCATCATTGAATACAATTATCGCATTTTCGAGGAAAATTAAAACTACCCGAATGCGCACTAAGCAAGAACAATTTTTTTTTTTATCAATAATCAATAATGATTACGCTGCAATTGATAAATAGAAAAATTCAAATTTTGAATAACGAAAAAGTGTAATCGTCTACAGCGTATAAGAAAATAAAAAACAGCATACCGCAAACGTTGCATTTACGACGTTATAAGTCATCATGTCAACGCTCGGTCTTGGGATACGCGAAATCCGCAGAAAATTGATGCGATTTTATCGGGTTCCATTCTCCCATCTCCAGTGTTCCACTCGTGTTTAATGGGCCACCTGTCTGCAATGTTTTTCTACTCGCCACCCGTTGTTTACTATCGACTAGTGTAAAAATCAATATTAACGGCATACAGCGCTCCTTTGGAGCAACACCGCCATTCGTTTAAATTTTCAGTTTTGATGTAGGCACTACAATACGAATATCGATACGGAAAATTTCAATTTAATTGTTTTGTAATTAATAAATTATAATTTATTTGTAAACTGTGTACAAATAAATAATTAAATAAATCAATTCAGAATATTGGAATCAAATAAATGTTAAATGTTTTAAACAATTTGTTTACCGACTATACATTTATTTTTTTTTTCTTAATTACTTAGGGACACATATTTAGTTTTTTTAATTGTTAGGTTTTTTTATTAAACAAAAATAATTAAAATTTAAAAAACTATTTATTAGTTGATAAGAAATAAATACTAGTTGGTATTCGCTTTAATTATTTTACTTTACTACTAGGTACTTGGTTTGTAATGCATTATTTACCCGGAACGTCTCTATCGACAACGATACTCAGGACTTACGTGCATCATACATTATTATTAATAAACAATGCGTTGCAGTTGGTTTGTGTTTCTCGTGTATTTTCGTTAAACTATATTGAAAACAACTACAGTACTCTTGCAATTTGCACACTGTTGTTTTTCTGGACATATTATTCTTTTATAATTAGTATTCTATAATTTCGTATCTATTTATTTTATATTATAATAACATGGATCTTCCTGCCGGTCCATCAAGAATTGATCGCTCTCGAAGTCCCATCAAAAGCATGGAAACACACATATTATCGGATGCTGAACTACTTGATATTTTGTAAAACGATAAATAGATATCGTCTGAAGAATTTTATGATGAATCAGAATGTAGTCATATTTCTGATGGCGATGATGGAGAAAATGAAGCTATCGATTTAGAAAATGTTGTTATGAGTGATTATGTGAGTTCTGGAGAGAATGAAGTCTGTGAGGTTTTATCTGAAATATATAGTTCTACAAATTTTAACTGGTCCACTGACTCCTCACAAAATATAAACCATTTTGAATATACAGCTACACCTGGACTTAAGTGTTTACCAAATGGAGACAATCCAATTGATTATTTAAATTTATTAGTAACTGATGAATTATTAGACATTCTTGTAGATGAAATTAATACTTATGTTATTGAAATTTTTTTAAATTCTTTCTCTGACAAGTCTAGAATTAGTGATTGGGTGAATATAAATAGATCGGAAATGAAAACATTTTTAAGTTTGTTATTTCATATGGGAACAATTAAAATGCCTAAATTAGAGGATTACTGGAAAACAAATAAGTTATTTAATTTACCGTTTTTTCGTACCTATATGAGTAGAAATCGATTTACTATATTACTCCGAGCATTACATTTTTCACACAACCCAGCTAAAGGAGAATCTATTCCTCGTAATAGATTACACAAAATTCAACCTATCGTGAATTACTTCAATTCAAGGATGAACGAAATATTTGAACCAACTAAAAATTTGTCACTTGATGAGTCGATGGTATTATGGCGTGGACGGTTAATATTTCGACAGTATATAAAAAACAAAAAACATAAGTTTGGAGTAAAAATGTATATGCTTACAGAATCGTGGGGACTTATACATAAAATAATGATTTATTCCGGACAAGAGCATGATATTTTCGAGGCTATGATTCATACTGAATTTGTTATCGATAATCTTATGAGTGGGTTATATCACAAAAGTCGTTCATTATATATGGATAATTTTTATAACAGTGTTCAGCTTTCTCGAAAATTATTACAAAAAAAAAAACTTATGTTACGGAAACTTTACGCTCAAACCGTAAGCATAATCCACGTGAAGTTATTGCTCAAAAAATAAAAAAGGGAGAGTCAATATGCAGATATACAGAGGATAACATTTGTGTTGTGAAATGGAAAGATAAAAGAGATGTGTTGACAATAAGTTCTGAATTTCCTCATTCAATGATAGAAATTGAAAAGAATAGAAATATAAAAAAAACCAATTTCAGTTATAAAATTTAACGAACATATGTCTGGAATAGATCGCCAAGATCAAATGACTTCGTACTATCCGTTTGAAAGAAAGACTATAAGATGGTATAAAAAAAATTGGTATACATTGTATACATTTGTTATTGATAAATTCTAATTTTTTATACAATAAATATGCAAAGAAGACATCATTGTACGAGTTTAGACTGTCAGTGATTGAAGCATTATTACCAAATGATCTGGATAATAATACTCGAATCACGAAAAAAAAGAATGAAAAACATCTTCTCAAAAAAGTAGAAAAAAATGATAAAAAAAAATACAAATACAAATGATGTCAAATTTGTTCAGGAAAATGCATTCGTAAAGATACAATATATTATTGTATGGAATGCAATGAAAAACCGGTTTTGTTTCTTGAAAGTTGCTTTGAAGAGTACCATAAAAAAATATAACTATTAATTATTATTAGGTTTTAGAATGTATTTATCTATTTTATTCTATTCTAAAGATTTATTATTTATATTATTTTATTATTTTATATTTAAAAGAATTACTAAGTTATTTTCTTTTCTAAAG